ATGTATTAGATTGTTTCTATATCCATTTCACTTAATTATATTTGTCTCGATAAATTGTAACTTTTGTACAGGACAAAAAATCTCTTAATGCATTTAATTTTTATTAAAACAAAAGTTACAAAAGATATTAGACTACTTAATAAACATTAATTAATAAATATTTATTTATTTTTGCCAGAAATCGGTATTGATAATGTATATTACATATGTATATTATAAAAAAAAAATTATTCCGATCTACGCAAAGGGCGCTTATGGTATCTTGAGGTCTAGCAGTGTTAGTGCGCTTTGATTTAATTTTATAAATTGTGACTAGTGACTTGTGGAATTTAAAATAACTAAAATTTCTAAAATAAAAGTAGCCTAAGTTAATCCTTATTAGATCAGCTATCTGCCAGTGAAAGTCCCGTCAAAATCGGTCCAGCCGTTTGACAGATTAGCCGGAACAAACAGAAAGGCAGGCAGACAATGAAGTTGTTTATATATTTTTTGTTTCTTTATTTTAATATCCCCGCGGATACTCCTTGGGAATCGGCGTTCTTTTGTGAGGATTTGAGGTTTGTCGACTTTGACGGCAGCCTGGGTTAACTTTGACATTAGGACTTGAAACAACTCGGTCTATAACCATGAAGCTGAAAGCTATCTGAAACGTCGGGAAATTAAAAACAAAAGCTAAACAAAGCTATAAAATCCGTAAAATATCACTTTAACATACATAATGTTCGCGTAAAAACAACAATAAACAAATTTATTTTAACGCCACTCACGATCCGCTGAAAGTACACTGTAGCGGGTGGAACCAAAATAAAAATGGAACATTTTGTATACCTACATGCAGATATTACGCAAATTACATTGCACGTGAGCACAGCCAAAGAGCACCCTATCATTGTTCCCCGCGACGGAATTGAATGCGCGGGCCCCTCTATTCTTTCCGCAGCGCACAGACAGCCATAATTACAGCGAGAGCGTCATAACATACGCACGGGTTCGCACTTGAAATCAATAACCGGCCAAAATCGAAGAAAACGACAGCGCCCGACGGCCGGGCCGTCCCCGCTAACGAGCAAACTGCGTTCTAATCACGTCCCGTCAAAAATGGATATCGGGAATTGAATTCGGGCTTTTTTCCCGTCGCGCAGGACGGAGGGCGTCCGAATGGGCAGATCAACTCAATAAGGCCACCGTGCCGTGTTTACCCGGAACCCGCAAACTGCGCGGGAGCTTTTTTACATTTTACCCAAACGTTATTTACCCCGGTGTCGTAAAGGTATTGTGCCCGTCGGACAATGGGTCGGGGGTATTTCGCATTTTTTTCCCCCTATTTGCCGCTGGACGCTCTTTTTTTTCTGATTTCGCGTGTGCGCATTTTTACTCTTTTCCAAGTGGCCCGTGAACGCGTGGTGCGAAACGAGTATTATTCCGATTTGTTGAATTGATACGGCATCTGGCGGCTGTCAAGTGGTGCGGATCAATGGATATGTATGCTCCTTATATTTATGCTGTTTTATCGTTCATATTTCCTGGTCGGTGGTCATTTAAAATATTAAGATCTCATTTGCACCGTTTAGATAAATTGATTCGCTTAGTTCTGGTAGATGCCAGTGGCGTAACTAAGCGGAAGCCCAGTGAACTAAGCCTTTACATTGGTAGAGCAACAAGAGCTTTTTGCCAACATCTGCTACATGACTAGACCGGTAAGTCATACACAGCCATACAGAAGACCAGCGTGAAGAATAATTTTGCCGGATTTTTATCGGGTGACTGAGGTTAATTCTGAATGCCCACTCTTCCGAGTGAGGCATTCGGATCACTGTCAAGTGTCTGCAATATTTTTGTAGTAGTGAATTTTATCGGGCAGCGATCCCCAGCCACAATACGATGAACTACTTAAAAATGAAGTACTTGCTAAATAAGTAAATAACATGGAAAATCCATAATTTTATTGACAAAATTATCGGTGAATAATAACAGGGTTTTGCTCTATGTTCTAACATTATAATAATAACAATGAAAGAAATTATCACAACCGAAAATGTAATTTTCTGTTCTCATTTGATTTGTTATCATTTTAGATTATGATGTAATGTTAAAAATGATATTTATGGCCCCATTTGCATTCTAGTGAGCTTGATTTGTACCCCCTATATGATGTTTCGTTTTTTGATTGACAGTTTCAACTGAACCACCCCTTCGTTCATGCAACGCTTCAGTTTGCCCTTGACCTTTGTTGCGATGTATCTAATAATAATGGTTACGGCGCCTTTTATATATGCTTTCTGAACTCTTATTAAAGATACCACAAGATATAATAACCCTTATTATTTGAAATGATTTCTTGTATCTCCTACAGCATGAATCTTTTATTTAAAGCAAAGCGCGATAAAATCCGTAAAAGATATTGTTGTATTATCTGAAACAACATGCTTTGCTTACAAATTGAGGTATCCAAATAGAATTGCAGGTTGCGGATTCGATTCCCAAACGTTAGATTTGCACAAAGGTTTTCTTTTCAATTTTCACTGCGCAACGCTTACTATTAAGATATTATCGTTATCTTTATAATAAGATGACGTTTTCGCATTACTTTTCAGAAGCAGCAAGCGAGATATTTAGCCCTTGAAAGTGCTAGGTACCTCGCGGTATGACTAAAATATAGAAATTGTGCACAAAGCTTGTATTCTTGCATGTTTTAACTGTTAGTGACCTATGTGTGTACCGTGGGTTGTAGCTATGCGCCGCCAAAGCATGGAATTCGAACCTCAACTCACCCTGATGGGCGACGACTGACTAATCTACAAGCGTACACACCCCTAATTCTCGGCTTCTACCGTTTATAGCAAAAACTCCTCCATCAAAGCACGCGTGCATATTCATCAAAAATTATTACAATAATATGTTGCACATGAACGGGATACGAACCAGCGACATAAAATCGTGATTCTGAACTTTATCACTATATTGCTGCAGTTTTATTAATTTGTGTATATTTTTTTATCATTTTGAAGATTTTTTATTTTTATTTCTATAAGGCCGATCACAAATTATTTACACTATATATTAATAATAAAAAAGAGACAATAGGTATATGTATAAGTGTGTAACAATAACTTAACATCAAGTACAGTTAAACCTCAATACAATAATACAAATTAAAACTGTAAATTAATTTTAGAAAATATATGTTTATGCACTCCACGTAACTTGCGTTATGACGTTGAGAACTTTGAATTACTCAATTTATTACGTACAGAAATCGCTGTCCCAACAAAACCGGAAGCTCTATACCAGATAAGTCTTGTGATTAGCCATGTTTGAATTTGAACTAAATAAGCTCTCTGTCTACTCCCTAACGACAACAGGCAAAATATCTCATAATAAACCGACTGAAATTCAATATGATTTACATATGTTTTTTTTTTTTTTTTTCATTTAAATATGTCAGATACACCTTACAGGACAAAAAGTAATTATTAATAATATGTGAATATAGAAAGAAACTTTAACAGTTATTAATGTCGTCGCAGGCAGTAACATAATAATGATTACTTGTGTGACTTGCGATATTCAGAGAAGGGGCGTTAATGATTTTCTTCACCTATGAGACTCGCTATTTTACGGTACATTAAGCCTGTATTTCAATTGTGTCAGGGCGTGTTTTTGCGTCTACTTTATCTGTGTCGTCATTGCTTGCTTCTTTCGTATCATTTTCTTGCTATCATTTCGAGTCCATTTATACTGGTCATATCTTAAAATAGTGCTATTGAGCATCTTAATGCTAATGGAGAGAGAAAGAAGACAAATAGATATATTTTACTCTTTCACGTTTGTAATAACTAATGTCGATATTTTAATTAATCGATATTTTTAAGCTTTCATAAGCTTACAGAGTAATTTGGTGTTTGATGGGATAAACTATCATAAATACTATTCTGTGTTACATTTAGTATGACGATTGTACTACTACGTACATTTTTTTTCCGGGATGACTATTCATTAAAACAGTTGAGTAGTTAATAAGAATAAGGCGTCCTAGCTGAGTGAAACACGCCTTTGAATTAGAAAACTCGTGTGATGTTGATACAGGTCTAAACACCCATAAACAGCTAATTGCCAATTTAAATCCTATCGCAGGTTCTCGTCAACGAAGGGAAACGCCGTAGTAAATCGTGCGCATCTATGAAATATCAAAGTGCCGTCCTTATACAGAAGATATGCAAGGTTACACAACTGAGGTCCTGGTGCACATTGTACCAATAAACATTTAGTACAATAGAGGCGAGTTACTCCAGCTTAGGGGTATGAAAATTTACTTCTTACTTTCGTAACATAAATAGGCGCCTAACAAATTAAAACTAACTTAAAAATCAATCAAATTATGTTTGTGCAACAAAATTTTGCAAGTTTTTTATTATTTTGTCTGTTCATAAGTCAAACTGGTCCAAAAACAAAATTTCAAACAATTTAAAAAAAACATTTTCCGGCAGTGGTTAAAAGAAGGAAATTTGTGTCCTTTTCATAAATAATAATTTAAAGTTTTTTTTAAATATACCCTTACTTTAGGTTAATTTAATCCTGTGTTGTAAGGACGTTTCACAAACATAAATTTCACGCTGACAAACACCCAGATGGGAACAACTATCTGTGGGACACACAAAATGTTGTCCCGTGTGGGAATCGAACCCACGATCCCCGACGCCGAAGCTGATACCTTGGCGACTATGTCACAGAGTATTTATAAAATAAGAAAACTCTTATTGTTAATATTTGTCCTCAATGCTTTTTGCATGCTATTTATTTGTCATTAGGTTAGATACAGACGTTAAAGGTCCGGTAAACGTTGATTTATCTATTTTATCGTCGGCTTTAATAATAAAGAAGCAATAAAGCGCTTCGTCCTTACCCGTTTTCAATAAACACCTTTATCGATTATTCAGCCCGCCGTCCATACTTACAGCTCCGGAGCTCCGCCATAGACAGAAAGTTGGCAAACTAATTCACGACACAGGCATAGCTTGCGCCGGGTGGATGTAGGTGGTCGCCAGGCGATAGCCGGTGGCCACGGGGGTGGGGGATGGGAATGGGGGGTCGAGGGGGCGTATTCGCAGCTGGGCGGTGCCGACCAATCGCCGCGTACCACCCACCGGGCCCGCCCACCTCACCTGCGCCTCACCAGCCCGCTCTCCTCACACTTTTTTCGCGGACCTCGCATCCGCTCGCTGGCGACGTCTTTATTTTATTTTCTCTTTTATGCCTCCTTCCCGGGTCGCCTCCTATTTTACGCCCGCCGTAGGTAGCGGGCGCCTTTCGTGAATACGAATGTCGGGCAGGTACTCGCTCGTTAGTCACGGACTTATGTGTAAAGTAAATAGAGGTTCTTTGCGAGCCCGTAACGAAGCCAGCCTTCCGCGCGCTGCTTACCCAATCCAGTCAGACACGCGAACCGTAGCTCGCGCAGGGCCTAATTAAAAACGTCTACAGCGCTAAACATTCGTCAGCCACCCGAAGTTCGCTTTACGAGCGCACTCGGGTAGGCGGTTGATAAACTTTTTAACTTCCGCATCGATCCGCCGAAGTTGCCGACGAAAGTAACCTTGCTCCACATTTCGTTTCTATGGCCCCGCGAAAATCCTGCGTTGTATGCAAGTGTCCTTACAGGGGTGAACGACTCCCGCATCGGCGAACTTCAACTGAACTTGGAAAAAACTTGTCGGAACTTCGGGGCCGCGTGATTAGAAGGACTTAGTTTTCAAGTGAGCCGGCAACTGCTTTTTTTCAGTTCCGAAAGTGGGTGGCTCAGTTTATGATCCGGGTGAAAGTCGCCGCGGATCGATGAACCCCGGCCCGGGTCAACTCCGCCGATCAAAGTTTGCCGGCTAATAACCAAATTTAATACGCAAGGGGAAGCCACTACACTTTGTCTGCCGGATTCGTATTTATGCATCTACGTATATTGCTATGACTAAGTCAACGTCCTGATTGAGGTATCTCGGTGTTTAGTGGGATACTAACGAGCGGCGGTGGTGAGAAATCGTGGTAGGTGCAATTATTACATTAATAAATATTTATAATAATAATTATATATTAAATATTTATATGTATTACTATATAATTACTTAAACATACATACATTATATATATATATAATGTATATATATACATACACATCTACACACATAAATATTTATGATAGTGGCACAAGGATAACATCATATAAGGGGTCATTTAGAAATAAATCGTACCAAACGTTACATTAGAGGCTCTACGTATCTCATCATTGATCCAAATAAACATTGAAGAAACTTTATGTGAAGGGATAGTATATTAGCTGAGGAACGGAGATCTCTTTCATTGTTCAGCGACATATTATTTTATTAAAAATGCATTATGTGATTTAATATTTTTTAATAGTTTTAAATAATTTTGTGTAATGTTTATTTTTATTCTTAACATTAAATAAGCTGCTTTTAAATGGTGTGATTTAACCCATTTTATAGTATTTTAACAGATTATTAAAATATATCAAACGAACATTTGTGACTAAGTACTGATGAAATGAAAAAGATATAAAAGCGAACATTTCATAAAACGTTTATGCTGTTGCTGATTGCAACTTATCACGATAGACGGAACGTCCACGTGCTATCTTAAATAAGAGATCTGTTGTAAACAATGCGAACTGCCCTCGTGTATAAGGAGTGGTTGAGATATATCTGTACCTTGTGAGGGTATACTTAGGTGAGGTCTACTCAGGGTCTAATTTATACTCGATGGAACGATGATTGATCACGTCGGCATGGTGTTTTCATAATAGAAATAATTGATTTAAGATAATACATGAATTTATAAACTTAATGTAATATAAATGGGAATCTTTAAAAATTGTGATGAATGGAAAACGATACATCTGTCTGTGTGATACGATCTGTTTAAGCTCATTTTTATAGCTCTTAGAGATCTATCAAAATCCAAAATTACAGTATTTTTATGTTTTACTGAAAAATAAGTAAAAATCTATGGACGTAATTCTTATGGAATGTTATCGAAAATAAATCGTCGTCACCAACATTGTGCCCACTCACCCCAAATACTCAAGTGGTTCATCGTAAGGAGTATTTGCGAGATAAGAAAACTTGACCGCCGCGGCGTCAGCTGCCCTACCCCCGTTTCATTAGATCTCTAGATTACGTAGGCAGGTTGTGCCGAATATTGCTCTTCTAACGATCAACCGTGATTACATGTTACAAACAATAAAAACATAAATCTGTTTTTACAGGTTGTGACCTTTGCTCTTTCCATCTTCTTAACTACTCATAGATACGAAGTCTGTTGTATAAACTATCCATACTGAAATTATCACTTAAAGATATCAGGATATTTTTTTTGTAAATATAACCCATAAATGACATTTCGCCATTGAATCATTTTCTGAAAATCATAATATTTCTGTTCTGATATGATAAGACTGTGTTAGTTTACAATTCTCAATATCGAATTAGATATTTTTCATTATTAAGTACTGCATCATTAATACAGTGAAAGATTTTGACATTGATATGAAATTTCTAACAGAATTCAGAAAGAATTTTTACAGGATGGTTTATAGAAAACTTTCTCTTTCTATCCCAAAATCGATCACGTGACGCTGACTATTAGTATGATATTCACAAGATGCTTGAATAGTCCGTTTGTAATACTGTATACATTGTGGAGGTCCAAATTGTTACTTTGAATAAATTTCAATCAATTAGCAGAGAGATGCTAGGAACAGATAGTTTCATAACATAATGTCTCGTCCAATCTCACTGAATATTCAATCGACATCTTTGATGTGAACATTCTGAGAATTCATAGATGTATTAAACAAGGTTTGGTTTCCTTGTTATAAATTTCGAAGTTAAATGTTTTGAGTATACAATTTTTTTTTAATTGAACTTTTAAAATATTTTATTATGTGCTGCAAATTCTTTCGATCTTTGGACAGAGCAGGGTAGAGTGAGATATCTAATATTAATTATTTTTAACGACCTTATAAAGAGAGCCTGTGAGAATATCAAAAAACTATTGCTTGAATATAGATTGATTTGTATTTGATTGATTAGATGTTTTTACAATTTTATGAATCTAAAAAATAATGTTGATCAAATCGAATGCCTTAATGACTTGGTCATCAATGACTCAATTTGAAAAAGATTTTGAAATTGAGAGATTGAATGGTATATACATTAACTTATATACATTAACTTCAAGCATTTTAGGCATTTCAATAAATTGCACGCATAATCGACATAAATATAATTAGCATAGTCATTGGATTTTACCAGTAATCAATCGATCGAAACATACCTGCCTCGAAACCATTAGCTGACAAATTACCTACACTTTAAGTTGTTTGTAGTTGGTAATTCATCTAATCTCCGCCCAAAGTTGCGAGTACGGCTCGATAAATCAAAGGGATAGTGCTGAGGCATCGTTTCTTATTAACCATTGTCTCGGAATCGAGTGGGTATGGGTAATTAAACGTTCGGGGCGATAACCATTATAGCCCGCCTTGGCTAGAGCTCACGAGCAATATTGATCTAATAAATTATCCAAACCTCTTATACAGAGATTATTGAGAATGGGCTTTTGGGTTACATTCAAAGCGTGTTTAGTTATGTTGAATGAACTATGTTATTTCCGTAATCGCTATTACCACCGTATAACAAAACAGCAGGTATATTTGTTATTAAAGATTCTTCAACGGCACTCACCTTCAGGGTTAGAAATAATTTCGTGTATTTTTAATGCTGAAGAATTTATAAGTACTTATATATTCAAAATAATTGCACGGAATTGCTTCGCTAAGTCTTATGCAAATGATACTTACTGATGAACTATCCCCCTCTACCTCAACCACGGTTTTTAAACAAGTGGCATATATAGAAATAATATAATATTACAAATTCAATATAATTATTATAAACTAGCTGCTGCCCGTGACTACGTCTACGTAGAATAGGCTGAAGGTGTAACATTCAGACAGAAAGACAGATATACATAAAAATATGTATATAATAATAGCCTGTGTTATTCTGATGTGTAAACTATATTATTGTAAAGTTTCATTAAAATCCATTCAGTAGTATTTGCGTGAAAGAGTAGCAAAAATCCATCCAAACATACAAACTTTCGCGTTTATAATATTAGTAAGGATTGAGTGCTAATTCTTATAATTTCCTATTTATAGTACTGCAAAGCATAAAATTTCCTGTGTTCAACCGCCACATACCAAATCCTGGCTATAAAATGTTTAGTACGATAAAACTTACACATTCCAGTCCCGGTATGCAGTGCTCCGTCCGCCCTCAGGAATCTCAGGCCGCCGTTTACAGCCGTCGCGTCTTAAGGCTGATGTCTTGAGACATGTTCGGACATGTCCGGGTCTGCCCACATTACACGCGCTAATTGCTTTATGCAGATGCCGGGTGGGAGGGCAACCGGCCGGCGGCAAAATTTTCCGCTGCGTATAATTATGTATCTACTACCGTAATTGCATGCCTCTGTTCTAACCGTTTAAAATGTAATGTTACATTTATACACATATATGAAAATTCATGTTTAATTTTATAATAAAGGTATTTAATTTCTCTCTCACACAATTGACATTGTGTTAGTACGATTTTTGATATGAAGATCAGAAATGTTGTTCTCATTACAAAAATAGCATTAATCAATGTGTTTGAGTAGGCAGGGATACAAAAAAGTTATTGTGACAAGTTTCCGTTTGACTTTTATTTTTGTATATATTAATTTGTAGTTATTTAAGTATTGTCATTCTACTTGCCAAATACTTAAACTAAACAGGATATTAGATATTAACCAAATAAGAATACAAATGCATCTAATTCTACAGACCGTATTCCGAAAATTGTATATTCATAAAATCGACTAAATATAACCGCTTATTTAATTCCATAGTTTCCCATAGAAAGGGTCACAATGTGTCCAAGTCACTAATGGTCCTTTGAAATCGAATAGCAGTCGGTGCCGGCGGTTTATAATATTGTTATCCTGATGTCCAGCTTAGATTAAGAGATACTTTCGTATGAGTGTCTCTTGGAGTACGGGGGTGCAGTGGGCGGGGTGTTGGCATTAATGGAATCAGCATTTACTGGGAACTGAGTCGACCAGTGTCCGGACCAGTCAGCTGATTTTAGGGGATTGCGAGGAATTTGCGACGCGCTTTGAACATGTGGTAAGTTCGGACTTCGAAATGCTTTCCACGGGGAAACTTGATTTATTTTCTTACTCGGCGCTATTCCTCGGTCGAAATTTAAAAATGTGGCTATTGAAATGCCTTCGTTGTTGGATTTGAGATTAAATGTAAATACGAAATGAAAATAAATTAACTTATTTCTATAAACATTTTTTTTTGTATAAATATGATTTACAAAATCCATAAAACTTACATCACATAACAATAAATGGATAAAGCATTTTCCTACCACTGATCAGGATGTTCGTGTAATGGATTTGAATAAAATGAGTTATTGTTATGATTGTTCTTTGGTTATGGATATAACAATAATAACATTGTGTTCATCATATTAAGACTTATGTGGTGTTCAAACTATAGTGATATTTATGGTTTTGCAATTTACATTCAATTGTTTTTCTATCCTTTATACTTACTTA